AAAACAATGCACTTAGTCAAATAGCTCCCTACGAGTGGCTAATGGATGGAATCGAAGACGGTTGCAGAGCATGCATACACGCGGACTGCCAAATCTCCAGGGTGCCAATACCGGTCAGTGTCAAATACCTCTTTTGTCGCATCATTAATATATCTCAAAGGACGTGACAGGGCTGTTGTAGATTTTAAACGTTTCTCACCATAGCTGTAAAAATCTAAATATGTTAAACTTAATAGTCATTTGTTTTCTAACTAATTCGTTTTAGGACCAGGTGTTGTCCACGGGAATTTCCAAAATTTACAACTTTTCTGATCACTCTCGTTGAACTGGAAAAATGTCTGTCTTTATTACATCTAATACAGTATTTCAAAGAAATCAGTCCCCATTGTACTCGGCTATAGATTGGTTCAGTTAAGCTTTTCTTTAAGTAATATTACGGCTCTTTCGTCAGGGTTTTGTTTATGTCCCCAATTCCCTAATCACTTAATTATTTAACTACTACTTAAGTAGAAATAAGTTAAAACCAGTTACTTCGTACTCGAATATTTGTAGTCTCGGGAAAAAAGTGGAAAGACAAATTTTTATGACAAACGGATACATAAATCGTAAATTTAAATAAAATAAATTCTAGAGCTTTTTCTGTACCTGGTGCATCTCTCTCATTCATTAAATTTAGTTGTAAATGATGCTGTCGAAGTAACAGTTAATTTTTTAACATTATACAAGAATTGTACACATTTTTTTCTACATCCCCTTAAAGATGGGATATACAAAATCGTAATATCACTGGTTTAACATTGAAATCCGTGAGTAATATAAAATCGGAGAGCGGAATAAAAATATCAAATATTTTAATGGATTTTTTAAACTCCTGTCAACTATACAGAACTATCGTAAAAAACGTACCAGTAAATTCTTATCGGTTGGGTTAAGTTATATATCTACTCGTTATTCATGTAATCGGCCAAATATCTAGCGGGCGGGCGGCTAACAGCCCAGAACCTGTTTCAGATAGAATTGGAAGCATTATATGTGTAGCATCAACCCAAGGTCGTACACTTCCACCAGCTAAACTGGGTGAGGTTGGTGCTCTGTAAAGCGCATGCGCAAATCTGGCTTTTTGGAATCTGACAATACAGAGATTCTACTCTGCCACTAATATTCTAATATACAATAGCAATTTTTTTTTTTTCTTTCACATGTAGTATAGAAATTTGTAATAAGATACATAATGCAGTTATAATAAAATATTGTGCGATTATTTTGATATAATTAAAATTAATATGTATTTGTTTTTTATAAAATACAAGGGAAGCGGCACTTCCATCACTTCTAATGACGGCACGCCACTGGTTATACATCAAGTTGGTCTGATTACATCCAACACTTATTTCTCTTTTTCCGCTTAGAAACACCAGTTTCTAAGTGGAAAAATATAAAACTATTGAACACTGGCTGCAGATTTGTGCCTGACCAATGAGCTAGCTATTGTAGAGTTTTTTAGGTTTTCTTCATGTGCATAACATTTAAATACAGTCTTGTTTTCTATAGAAAGTTTTCCTAGGAGGCATTCTCCTTTGATAGATCACCAGGGTATCACCAAAATCATGTTGTGTTGCTTTATTCTATCAAATAAACAACTTTTTTAACTGTCAAGTAAAAACACTTGAAAATTTAAGAAATGTCAAACTTCTCTCTATAACTTGGTTACACTTTTACTTTTCTTCCTTTTATAACCATTTCTATGCCACTGACAAAACATCTGCATTTCTGATATTAACTATTATTGAGTTCAATTTCTTTTTTATATCTATAATTTCTCAGCACATCATATGCCCTCATCTTCACTTATCTCTTCTAACAACCTCTCTTCTCATTTAGCAAACATTTTTGGGCTGCAATTTTCAAATTGCACACTCTTAGATTCCCACTGTTGTCCATCTGACCTCCTTAATTTCAAGAATGGAGTTAAATAGATGAAAATCAACATCATATATGGAAAAATAGGGCCAGGGGCTTGAATTAAGTATATACAAACTTCTGGTCTCAACTGGAAGTTTTGAATTTTTTAAATTAAAATATGATTTAATTAAAAAATTGCAGCCCTACATTGTGATGATGCCACAATAAATAATTACTTGTTACCAATACATTCTCTACTAAAGATACTGTCATTCTTTTCTCTCTCAATCTAAGATGCTCTTTCAATCTTATTTCCAGTCTCCACCTCTACTATTTTTTCTCCTATGCCAGAATCCCTTTACTCTCTAAACTTTTTTTTAACCCTTTTATATTCCATGCTTTTGTGCTGTCCCTTGCAATAACTGTATCTCAACTTCTCCCAGTTTGACAACAAAAGAAATATTCTTCTAATTATCATTTCAAATGTGGCTACTCTGCTTTTATAAGGATCTTCTGAGTCAAACATAATGTAAACAAGCCTAAAAGTTTCCTTCCTGTAAACTTCATTTCATATTCTACAACATCACTACAAATCCATATGTTTAAAAAGGATACTCTTTCTGCTGACTCTTGTTCCACTTTAAGCTTCAATCTTAAATTCTAATCCAAAAATCCATTAACAAGATACTCCAAAAGCATTTGGGTCTTATTATTTTTACTAATAGTAAATGAGTTAATCTTATAATATAATTGAGATGGGTTGATGATGATAAGTGCAGAGCACAAACGGTTAGGAGTTGAAAGATGAAATTTGATACACAGTTTGGGTAAGTCATGAGAATGTACACTAAGAATGAATTTTTTGAAATCCCCATGGGGAGAGGGATAGGGTTAAGGATTACCCTTAAGAACTCAGTTTCTACCGTACTAATTTAGATGTACTAATTTGTGTTTTTGTGGGGAATGAAACATATTTTTAGACCCATATAAAAATTTTCTAATTAGTCTCGGAAGAGGGTAAACCTAATTCTTGCACCCAGTGAAAACAGATAAAATCAGATGTAGGCCTAATCTAGTAATCATAATCTTTACTATTGTTACTTTTTGCCTGAGCAATGCTGGGCTCATCTGCTAATAATAATATAAATGAATTACCCAATAAAATACTAATATTTAAACAATACTTTCCACAAGTTTTTCAAAAAAAAAAGGTCCAAAATGAGCATTACACACACAATGAATATTGTTATAAGTAATTTATATATAAATTATATAATTATTGTTGTAGCAATGCCAATAGAATATAATTTGAAAATAGTTTTAAACACATTAAAAATTGGAAAATCCTTTTAAGTAGACTACATTTGCCAATGATGCTCTATTAAAAAAAGTTGGGTGTGTTTTCAATATTAAATGTATTTACAGCAAACTCAAAATGCAGTAAAGTGTTTAGTATTTGTAATTTATAAAATTATTTTATTAAAGAGTCTCTAAAGATTGGCTGTTTTACTTGAAAACATTAAAATTATCTTTTCCATTGATCAGTGCAATGAAATAGTTGACCTCTCAGTTCAAATTTATTTGATCTGAATATTAACATGCTCCAATATTAAAATTTATATCTGGTTTTAAATTTATATTTAATATTTATTGTGTTAAATTAAAATGCATCTAGAATTAGTAATTGAAAATTACTTAATTTAATATTTCTGGAATTTTAGGTAATAATAATACAGTAGAGCGTCGTTTATCCGAATCAATTGGGGACTGGGGTTGTTCAGATAACTTATTTTTCGGATAACCGATTATGTACGAAAAAATATATTAACCTATCCCATCCTGAAATTTTTCTCCATTGCGTGTGACTTTGCATTGAATTTTTGTTGATGTAAAGCCCAACGTAAACTTTTTAAAATACAGGTAACCCCCGTATAACACGGTAGTTATGTTCCAAAAAATTGCCGTGTTATGCGAATCCGTGTTATACAAAACAAAGAACTAATACGAAAAGGAGGGTTAGGTTTCAAAAATTAAAAAACATGCTAGTATATTTTTGTAATTAAGATAAATATCTTCATTAAAATTTTTTAAAGTGATACATATTAATATAAATTAAACAATGTTTTCTTCGTCATCACTAAAAACACTATTAATTAACCGAGAGCGTTTTCTTTTTGGCAAGTTATCCTTATCCTCTGAGCATTTTTCTGCATTATCTTCAGATC